AACCAAAAAAAAAAAAAAAAAAAAAAAACGTAAAAACAAAATTGCCCTTCGCGTTCAGCCGCCGACATCTTTTGTTTTTAACTTTTTAGATCGGTCAGCACTTCATAATACTCAGGGCAAAACGTCACAAAACGTCACAAAAGCCGCAGTACCGTTCACAGACCTCATTGACATGATTTTTTTTTATTTTTTTTTTTTAAACAGGGCCTTATGGTCCTGGCTCCTTTCCATTCTGGGGAGCATCACTCCGGTTCCTATTCCACCGGCAAGTCAGAGTGAACAATACAACCAATAAACACACACGCTTCCTCCCGTCTGGCCGAAGGACCCCTGGACAGCATTGATTACTCCAGACTTCTGTAGGATTGACTGTCAGCTTGCCATTCTTCCCTCTTTCCTCTCAGATCGGCTCCCTAGATCTGGCAGATATAAAAAAAAAAAAAAAAAAAAAAAAAAAAAAAAAAAAAAAAAAAAAAACCATAGCAGCGAGAAAGAGCTTACCCCTTACCCAGGCTAACCCTTAAAAGTTAAGACTCATACTTCGACTCTACCCCTACGTCTCGTCACCCCCTTATCCTCCTCACCCCCTGTTACCGAAGTGGCATCCAATTCTAGACCCTAAACCCAAAACCTCGTCTCGAATAAGAATTTTCTGAGCCCACCAGACCGCCACCAACTCATCCCCTCGAACCAGTTTCCCAGGGGTCGCTGACCTCCTTGCCACTGTTGGCTCAAATGAACCACAGACCTGGAGTGTACCTCCAGCCCACATGGCCTGGAGAGTACTAGGTAGACTCCCTTTTCTATTTTGGAGTCTACCCAGAGGCTAGAACTCTCCAGGCCATGTGGGTTGTCACTCTAGCGCTGGTGGGCTATCATGGCCTACTGCGTTCCCAACTGGAGTGATCAGAACCCTTCTCCTCTCAGCCGTCCTTCTTGCCTCAACCTCGACTTCGCTTTTGACCCTAGCCTCCCTTTCTACCTTCAACTCAGAGACTCCCTTGCTGCATGGGCAGCCAGTACTTCCCTGCTTGTATCCTCCGAGTTATGCAAGTCTTGCCAATGTAGCAGATCATTTGTTAGCTAAGCCACCTTCCCCTCCACTAACCACTGATTTGTGAACTTCTTCCTGGCCTGTTCCTGCAGTTCTGCATTTTCCAGCATCGATTTTTTAACTTTCCGCCATCTGCACAAGATTTCCGCTTGTATCATCATCCTCGTCTCCCTCCATACCTTCTCGTTAGAATTCTTTTTGGAGAACCTCTCAATGGTTCCGTAACATCTCTCTTTCCAGATGACCCAAAGTGTGACCTTCCTTATCAAGCCGAACCATAGTCTTTCCGTCTTCGTGAGCTGGTCAGGAATGTTAGTCCATAGCAGAATTTCGGTAATCTGTTCAGGAAAGGGACTGCAAAAGAGAGAATCCCAGAGAGCAGAAGCCCATGCCCAGTAGTTTTTCGCCTCCCTGCAGTGCAGTGGACTAAGCAGTGTGTTATGTCCTCTTGTGCCCCTACCGTACAGATTGAACACAAGTCCGAGCTAGTAGGGTCATTCCTGCAGTGGCGCGTATGGAGCCATTGGTTGACACTTGACAGGTAGCGCTACATATGTGATTAGCCACTGAAGGCTCCTGATTTTAACCGGTCTGATCGACTTGAATAATTTCTTCCACGTGATTTGTGTGATTTTGTCGGCCTCCTGGCCGATTAATTTTTCCCATCTACCTTTTTTTTTTTTTTTTTTTTTTTTCCATCTAACTTTGATTACCAGTTATGGGTCTTTAGTCTTCAACAATAACTTGTAAGTTGTAACGCAACCTGACCGTGTAGTTCTGGATGGATGGGGGTAGCCATCGAAATGTTTTTCCCTTTATCTGGCTTCCAGGCCCACTCTCCGGGTCGAACTCCAGAGGTTATGAACCGCCGTATCCGGACGGTAGATAACCTTCGGCCATGAGCCCAAGACCCTCGCTTTTCTGACCAGGAAGAAATCTAGCACTACCGTTTCCACGTACATGTTTTGTATCTCAGGCATGCCCTGTTTCACTTGAATTTACATGATTTCTCTTATTAAAATTTTCAAGAATTTCTGAAATTTTAATGCTTGTAGCAATTCTGTTTCCTCTCCGTAACAGAATTGTCCTTCGCATGAGCAGGCTGCCCAAGTGAGACAGTCGTGGCAACACTGTGAAACGCCACCCCTGGCTAGACGGAACTGATGCCTGACCACCTCCGAGAACCATGAGGAGGGAGACTGACTGTCCCCCCAAATACAAACCAAGTGCGCACGCTGCCCCTCGGGACCGAGTGGGAGTGGGAGTGGGAGTGGGAGTGGGAGTGATACCACCTCTGCTACAAAGGAAACGACCTGGCATACGTGACAGTTGAGCCAATTGTGTTTCTTACTCACTCTTTGTTGCAGATCCTGTCAAGCATCTCCACACACCTTCCACTACTTCTTTTCGTTACTTCTGTAGATCGTGTTCTTACCTCAGGGCTGTGCCGGCAACCAGCCGGTTGGATCCTCGGTGGTCCAACCGGAATTCCGGTTGGGCCCAAAAATGGGTCTCTTTTTTTTTTTTTTTTTTTTTTTTTTTGAAATCATGGTTGGACTACGCTCGCCGAGATCTCCCCGAATCCCGAAGAAAACTATGATCAGAGAACTTTGTTTGTTTGTTTTTTTTGGGGGGGTGGGGGTGGGGGGGGTGTTTTCAGGGGGTTGGGGTCGGGGGTTAGGGGGGGTTGTGGTGGTCTGGTTTCAGCAAACACGGGCGTTGTCAACAATGTATCTGGCTTTCTGGCAGTTTCTGCAAATGTTGACAGAAGCGTACCTGCAGAAGAAGAAAGGAAGAAGAAGAAGAAGAAGAAGAAGAAGAAGAAGAAGAAGAAGAAGAAGAAGAAGAAGAAGAAGAAGAAGAAGAAGAAGAAGAAGAAGAAGAGAAYGGGCACTTACCTCCGCGACGGGCGCTGCTGGCCACGGACGGCGACGGGAGCTGCTGGCGACGGCCACAGGCGACGACGAAGACGAGGAGGACGGCGACGGGAGCTGCCACGGGTGACGACGACGACGAGGAGGCGACGACGGGAGCTGCCACGGGCGACGACGGCGACGGGCAACTCGAAGTGGCGGAGGGATGGCACTCTCTCTCTCTGAAAGGCGAGAAACCGAGGAGGACCGCCCTCCCTCCAACTTTCAAAACGGCGGCCTCATCTGCGCCGCCGATCTGCCTCGATCAGCGGTCCGGAGAGCCCGCCGTTTTGGATGCACATAGGCAGGCCTGCGCTACCCGGTTCAAATTGCTTTTGGGCCAGGAGGCCCCCATAACCCGTGTGGGGACGTCCTGGCCCAAAAAAAAATTGTTTCGGCCTTTTTCCTATAGTGCACTGTGGGCCGCCGGGGGGCAACCGGACCGGTCAACTGGCCGGTCCCACTGGCCCGGTTCCGGTTGGGGGTGGACCCCCCGGTCGGACCGGGTATTTAGCACTGTCGTGTACACAATTCCACAAAAAAGTCACGACCCTGTGTGTGTGTGTGGAGAGAGGGAGACAGAGAGACGGAGAGAGAGAGAGACAGCGCGACAGAGACAGAGAGAAACACACACAGACAGAGAGAGAGAGAGAGAGAGAGAGAGAGAGAGAGAGAGAGAGAGAGAGAGAGAGAGAGAGAGAGAGAGAGAGAGAGAGAGANGAGAGAGAGAGAGAGAGAGAGAGAGAGAGAGAGAGAGAGAGAGAGAGAGAGAGAGAGAGAGAGAGAGAGAGAGAGAGAGAGAGAGAGAGGACATAAGCTGATCGTGCCTGTATACGAGTGGGGCAGCAAGGCAGTCAGGTAGCACAGCTCAAAGGAGGCGGCCTAGGAAAACCATGAGAAATTGTGGCCACTGACTGATACAGTCAAATCGTGATTGCCATGGCCAAATCTCATCACCACAGAAAAATCAGCCTTCCGTTGTCAAGGCTCGGGGGTCTTCGGCAAGTCGAGGGTTAACAAGTAGCAGACAGCAGGTTTGAAGACTAGGATAAGGAACAGTGGTCGCTTGAGAAACAGATCTCTAGAATAAACGAACAGTACAACCATTCAAGCCAGGTTCAATCCTCTCCCCCTGTTTTTCTTTGAACTAATTGCACATGCAGTAATGCTCTATAAACTTTCAGAAGAATTCCGTCTCTTTTTTTCAGCACAAGTATATAAAGAAGAGAGGTTAAGCACAGTTGGGAATGGACTGCACAACACTGACATGACAATCGCATGTTATCATCGTCATCGCCGCATTCAACAAGAGAGAACAAAACAAAAGCGACGTCTGCGCAGAGTCGCAGACATCTAACTCGTACCTGGTCAGCGCCAACGAAGTCCGCATCTTCTGTCAAAAAGAGCATACAATGGCATTCCTTCCTGCAATCGTAAGATTCGTACCACATGTTCCAAAACAAGCATGTCGCATATGCATCGTTAAGTGAATGCGATTGCATCAACTAGGAAACAAGCACACACATGTACACCGTACCACACACACACACACACAGTGACACATACATTGAGGAGCGGGTGTGTAGAGTGGGGTTTATGGCAGTGACAGATTAGTTTTGCAGACTTGCTGCCGATCTTGTCAGGAGTTTAGAACGCCAGTCTGCTAGGATTGCAGGGTTGGTGTGAGTAAAAGTCAACCACTTTTCTCTCTCTTGAGGGTGGGTATCGCTAACTCTGGGCGATGTAGCGAGTTCTTATCCATCAGCTCCCAATGCATCCTGGGAAGAATGCCAGGGGTTTCAACCTCCTCATGAGTTGGTGAGAGTCCGACAAGACAGTCTGCTGAGTCTGCTGAGTCTGGCACGGTCTTGTCGGACTCTCACGCTTTTTTTGTGTGGAGTTGTGTATAGCGAACATGACAACACACATTGTTTGTTTGTTTGTTTGTTTGTTTGTTCCTTCTCAGTGTCCCTGTGCTCTCTTCAGATTCCAGTGCAGCACCTTCACGATGTGCCAAATAGTCAGTGCCTGTTTGTCAGCAGCACCTGCTGTCTTCGGAATGCTGTGTGTTCGTGGCGCCAGGCATTCGCCTTGTGGCCCACTGACTCTTGGTGGTGGTGTGAACCCACAGTTTGTACGGTTTTGTGTATTGTGTGAGTAGGCGATAGTCCACTTTGATACAGAGAAGGTGCTGTATCCATGGGCTTCGCTATTTTCTGATAGTTGCTCCATCCATGGGCTTCGCTATTTTCTGAAGTTGTCGTCATACTTGCCTTCCTCCGTGCCTTGCTCCGTTGCTGTATGCCTACCAGCCTGCCAGTCTCCCCGAGCCTGCTTGCCTTACTAGATGTTTCCATGATGTGCTTACCGTGCTGCGTGCCATGTTCTGTTCCTCGATTATGGACAGTGACGAGGAGGTCGTCTTGGAACCCAAGCAGGATGAGCATTCCCACTAAGGCGGTATGCCACACCCACCAAGAGATTTTACGACGATATATACACTAACCTGCCGCTTGACAAGATCATTAATGACGGTACTAAATGCTTTTCATGCAGCACATGATTATGCCTTGGCTGCCTGGCTTGGCTTGGCATGATTTGACTGAACAGGAGGCCAGTACAGATGCACAGGACAGTGGGAAGCCTCATCGAGGGAGGTGGGTGGGTGACTTCACTTCGCTCTAACACTCCCTCAGTGACAGATAGAGAACAGCATCCGCTGTTCGTGGTCTCTGACAGTTGTCTGTACGCAGCGGATGGCACTCTGCACCATCAGATGGTCAGTACCCCCTATGGGCATTAACGCTGAACGGGAAAGGAAATTCCCAATGTTACGCTCCACATGGGACGAGGCACAGTTCATCGATTAACTTTGTCAGTGGCGTCGACACTGAGCACAAGAATATGCATTTACTTATTGGTTCGCTGAAGACATCCTATTCTGCGGAACAATTTCTCCGCTGCCTCGTGCTCGATATGGTCTTGACTGGAAAGGTATTACCCGCATTGCCGAGCAAGATGGGTCATCATGTCTCTCCCTCAGGGCAAGAATCTCGGTTCAGCCATGCTGCTCACTTGACATTGCTGTAGTCGATAAGGCTGAGGCTTGGACATTCCCTGTCATACACACGCTATCCCAGTAGAAGATCTAGCATGCAAAAAACACAGCAATCACAAAAGCTTCCAGAACTGAAAAAGCTATCGTGCCTGCCTCCTTTTGCTCTTATGATTAAGTAAAGTGTTGCTCCCCCCCCTCAAAAAAAAAAAAAAAAAAAAAAAAGCTATCGTGTAATGCCCCAGCTCATTATAGCCTGCAGGTGTGCACACGGGACAGGTAACGTGATTCGAGAATATTTGTCAGAGTACAGCGGACTTCAAAACTGCAGGGACGTCCTTGAAATGGCATATGCGCATTAGCAGCTGTCCCCCCAGTGTCCTGGCCAGACTGAAGCTGGACTGCTTATGCGCGTGGCCCGTAGCCCGGCCGCCCACTCATCTCGCGCGGCTTACGGTCTGTTTCGCCTCATTCATGGCACATTGGTCAGTGGTCACTTGCCCACACACTGCTGAGTGACAATTCTTCCCCAGGCATCCACATTAGCAGTCGCTGGCTCCCCAGTTATGGTTACGAGCCGGCGAGCCGGCGACTGCTAATGTGGGTGCCTGGCAGAAACCTGGGCTACAGTAGCAGACGGATCGGCGGCAGGATGTGATATAACCTGCACCCTAGGCTACCAGAGTGGCCCGGGGTCACTTGCCCGGCCGGGCCAAAAAATTAAAAATAAAAACATTATTTTTAATTTTTAATTGTTATTTTAATTTTGGTGAAGAATTTCGATGTGACCCTGAGGCAAAAGTTGTTCAGTTTATTTTTCTGCATAACATAGTTTTTTCTCGGATTTTTTGGATTTTTTTTTTTTTTTTTTTTTGCTGGGACCTCCTTGCACGGGCTGGCCACCCGGGACCCGGGCGGCCCGGCTGGTAGCCTAGCCTGCACCCTAGCATTGCTCGTGTTGCTGAATGTGTGCCCGCTCAGACTGAAGGGCGACTGCAGCCCAACCCTACAGGTGACCCGCAAGAAAGAGATCTGACTGTTCAAGCGGAGCGCGGGGCTAATCGTTTGCCACCCCCTTCCTCGTCTGATTCTCTCCTCCGACGTCAATAACCTTGTGTTGGATATCCCTCTCCCCAACCACCATTTCTGGAATGTGAACACTTCAAATATTCTCTCATCGTTCTTTTTTCTACCTTCGACATCCTCATAACGGCTCAAAAGAGGAAAATGAAAGAGGGAGAAACGACAGCAGGTGGGCATCCATCCCCGGTGCACACCACATGTGCACACAAGGGCTATTACAGACACACATTGGACAGCATTCACCATCACATTCACACAGAGGCAACAACAGTAGTCCTGCTCTATGTGTTCCACGCCACACATTCACAGTCACAACGTGCAAGTCGAAAAAAGTTTTAAAAACTCACCGTTCACGCATAGGCACACACGGACAATTCCAAAACCCCTGTGCAGCTTCCGCCATCTTGTCATCATAATGCCTGCACAAGTTTGGGAACCAATCAGATAATTTCGTGAATCATTCGACAGAAAGTCCCCGGTCAGACGGCAAAGAAAACAGAAGTGGGCACACCTACTACAAGGTAACCAGGTCCTTCCTAAATTGTGGAGGACACATTGCCGATCAGTTTGTGAACAGTTCAATTCCCAATTTCCCACCCTGTCAACAAAACACATTTCTCAACACATGCAACATTGTAATTTCAACAAAAAAAAAAAAAAAAAAAAAAAAAAAAGAAATGTTTTTGAAAAAGAAATGTCGAAAGAAAAAAAAAGGATTTAATTAATTGTAAAATGTTTTCGAATTACAAAAATTTTGGAAAAAAAAAAAAAAAAAAAAAAACACTACTGCCACCGCTTTCTACTAGACATTCGAATCTCTTTTTGAATGGGGCAGAGGGCTTGTAGTACCTACCACACTTCGCACCTACCAGCAGAGGGGAAGGAGCCTAAATTGACGGACACAGACCGTGAAACCAAGCACGTCGCGTACTTGAGAGTTAAGGACAGTTCTTCGCGTGTTGTACGCTGAACGAATGGGGCTAAGCAGGGCGCTAGCCAGACTTCCGCGGCCTCTTCTTCGACATGCACCGATGTTCATAACCTAAGGACCGCCGCTAGCTATGAAGAATTTCGGGCCAGTGGCCTCCTATTCAGCAGTCTCATGAAAGGCATAAATCTATGGATTGCTGCCTATAAGAAGCTAGCGCCTAATCCAGGCTCCCCCCACAAACATTTCAGGGGAATCAGTGTTCAAGGGGATGTGGGGGGGGGAGGGGGTCCGCAATACATTCGCAGTTTGAAAGGGGGTGTCTCAGCAATGCATTCGTAGTCAAGGGTGTGTCATTGCAATCCGAACATGAGAAGCACATCTTTCGAAAAACCACCTGGCCTCCTGGCCTCCCGTTGCAGGGGGCTGCGGGGCCAGATTCTGCGGCATGAGCAAGTTACATCCACTAGGCGCGCCCGTTTCCCTCATCACGTTCCGTCATCTGGACTCGAACTCGGGTCTGTATTTCAACAGTTCATGGGTGTACCCACTGAGCTAGACTTGAATCCTTTTTCTTTTCCCTTCGCACGAGGAAGCTTCTCTCAAGACTCAAATCCTATAGAACACAACTAATAGAAAGTTAGAAACAGTCAACCGGGGGGCCAGCGGCCTACCATCTTCCCCCGAATAAAAAGTACGGTCATTCTGCCTGCGTTTGGCACAGCTTTCGGTCCAGATGCAGCGAGAATGACAGTGCAGAACTTCTATTCGGGTGAAGACGGTAGCTCAGTTGGTAGAGCACATAAGTGGCATTCAGGAGGGCGTGGGTTCGATTCCCCGCGTCGTCCATCCAATTCCCGACGGCCCCCTGCGGCACACTTTGAGCTCACCGGTTGAGATAGTTTACTTCCGCTGCTCAGCTTCAAGAGCCGAGTCTCTTAACCACTAGGTCTGTTCCCTCTAGCAATTCCCCTCCAGTGGCAGTTAGTTGTTATGATAGCAACTCCCGTTTCTTTTCTTTTCTTTTTTTAACTCCCGGTTCCGGGGGGCAGTCCGTGTGAGGTAGTTGGTACAGCTGTCCCCCGCATATGAGGATAAGGTAGCTTTTTTACCAACAACAACAACAACAACAACAACAACAACAAAAAAAAAAAAAAAAAAAAAAAAAAAAAAAAAAAAAAAAAAAAAAAAAAAAAAAAAAAAAAAAAAAAAAAACTGTCAACAAACTAAATGGCACCAGGCAGAGAAAAACGACTACGGGTTCAAAGTTCGAACCTGCAAGGGCAGAGTGGTGCCCCGAGCTGGTCCTTATGCTCTGCCAAGCCCTGCACAAGCGAAGCCAAGTGTAGAAGTGCACACCCAGGAAGCCACACCACAGAACAATTCCACAAAACCACATGCAACAAAAAACCAGCACCGTTCAAAAGGGAACCCTTCCCCAGGCCACACCTCCCACATCCCCAGCCACCTGCACAGGCAGGCACAACAAGCATAAACACCCGCGGAGGAGATGCCAAGACAAATATAGCACAAATAAGTCTGCATGCACTGACCGAACATGTATGCGTTGTAGATTTCCAATGCAACAGCCCCTGTTGAGTAGATCCAAAACCGAAACAGCTTTACCTCTATTGAAGACGATGAAGCGCACTTTGAGGCAATCTGCAACCACACTCGTCTTCTTCTTTACTCAGCATGCATGGGAACAGATGATAATCGCACTGGCACCAGGCGCCCACACAAAGCTCAGAGATACTGAGACCAGGAACACAGTTCAGATTCAAACTTGCTTCGAATGGCTATGGCGCCTGTGCGCTCTCACAACACCCATCCAACACTGTATTCCCAGCAACCATTCACACGCACGCTACTCTGGATCTCCCTGGATGTCGCACACATACACACACTGCACACAACACTCACACACTTACACGCTGCAGCCTATCTCTAACCTATGGCAGCTATGGCTGCCTTCTACCTTCCCTACTAACTAGCGGCTATGGCCGCTCCGTCTCCTTCTCAGCCCACTTCACCGTCGGGCATCTGCAGACCTCCTTGCACAAGACGCTCAGGCAGCGCTTCCCCACGGCTTACAGGCAGAATGAATCAATGACTGGACGCTGCCTCTTGATTTATACATTGGATGGTCGCTGGGTCTGCTCCTTTCCACCGGGCCCAGCGTGCACACAGTCCCACATGGTACTTGCTGACTGGACAAAGTGCGACTGGGACTGGGTACCGCTGACTAGGCGAAGTTGGACTGCCCACTTGCCCACTTGCCTCTAGCCTAACCTTAGCCATTCTCCAAAGGCCACTTCCGGACCTTCCGGAAGTCTTTAGACTCGGCCTTTTGGAACCGTAGCAGCTACGACCTTGACCTTTCAGGACTGTAGCAGCTACGACTTTGACACAGCTACGACCCCTACTCGACAGACCTACGGTTCAAGACCCGACGACCATACCAACCTGCGACAGACAACAAACGACTACCAAGACACAGGTCACGGGTTCAAACACACAGGGGTCGACTTAGTACTGTACACGGGCGAGGACAAGGTCTAGGGATCGAGCCCTGGGATCTGCGTCTGCTACTGCAAAGGTGAAAACCGTTTCACTCCCGCCGGCCTAAATTCGAGGTCCTCCGAGAATATATGTCAATCTACAGCTGCATCTTTACCACAATCCAACAATGAAACAGTTTTGCTTTTATAGCAAGCAACATGAAGCACAAACAAATCTGTTGTTATATTCCTTTCTTGGCTTTCCTTACTTTGGCTTTCTTTGGGGTACCCCTTTTGAGCTACCATTTTTTGTGCCTCTCACGTACAAGGCGGGCCACGTCGATTGTGGTTGAGCGCCAGCTGCCTACATCCCCGTGTGCCTTAACGCACACTTGCATGTTGTGAAAGGAGGCAGAGTAAAAGGGGAGGTGTACTCCTGTTCCTTTTTCTTCACGTGTTCCGCTTATATTCTGCCTGCTTCTCTTAATGATGCTCATTCGCATGCATACACTTGTCGTGCACAAGCAGAGGAAAGAAGGAAAGGGGTAGGAGATGGAGTTGCCTATGCGGCACACACACACACACACACAACAAACACACACACACACACACACACACACACACACACACACACACACACACACACACAGATCTGCCGGGTGAGCATTTGCAACACACAATCCGGTGTTGCTTACTGATCGAGCAGCAATGACCAGGCCTGTACCAGAAGGTGATTCTTTTGTTGTGTTGGAATGTGCCGTTGTTTTTGCTGCATAAATGCATTTGGGTGCATTTGCGTTTTACTTCTTCGCTTTTCTCATCTTCTGGTTATTCCTGGCATTTGAGCTTGCCCTCTAGGGATCACGCCGGTGTTTTTCTGACTGAGAAATGGGTAGAGTTCTTAGGTTATGGTATGGAGAGTGTGATGCTGGGGCCAGGAAACTTGGTGGGCAGGCTCAGACAGCCTGCAGCACATGGTTGGGATCCAGGAGGCTTTAGGCGTTAAGGACTCCTGGGGTGGACTCCTGGAGTTGCGTGAGGGTTGCAACTGGCCGTGTGTCGCCTGTCCATGCTGCTCTCTGTTGTAATGCTGCATCTATCTATGGACGGGCTTCGAGAGTGTGTGCTCTGGGTGGAGCGCCCATTGGCTGTAGATATTGGACCAGATCATACTGGGTGATGACGACGGGGTTCTTTTATACAGTAGTGCTGCCAGCGACACACGTGTGATGTACGCCTGTGGGTGGGGCGGAGGCCTGTGTTTTGCTCCCCTTTCGGTGGTTGCCTGTAAACAGTGAAAAGACTCAAAAGAGTTACTTTTGCTCCTCTTTTGTGCGATGGACAGCAAAATGGAATGGTAGGTGTCATGTCATACCGTGGTGGAGATGTCTGTGCCGTACTCTTCTGCTATCAGGACAGTGATGAACTGCCCTTCAATGTGTATGTCGAATACAGACTCGAACACACTAACTCTCGGCTCGGCAGGCAAACACCTAACCATAAGGCTAAGTGGGCTGGGGCAAAAATGAAGCCCCAAGATGAGCACTTCACCCCACCCCAGCACGAAGATCCCGCGACACGGTGTACCCAACCACACTCATCCTACACAGCCACACTGCCCATAGTATATAATCTCTACGGCGGTTACCGCGCGAAAGCACGTGCATGTCGAATACAGGACTTGGACACACAATGTGCGCATGTCTCATAAATTGTATTCACTGCGCAGCTGCACTTCAAGTTTATGGATGTGTCCGCACTACCGACTCAACCACACAAACGTGCGGGATGTTATGCTTCACATTGTTTATATTCTTTTTTCACTTAGGCTGGAATGGAGGTGGTTCATGGGTCACCATTTATGACAGACACAAACACAAATACAACACACAAAGGGATCGCCCCATGGATACCGGTAGACAGGCAGGGAGGGTCTGTCTGTCTGTCTGCCTGCCTCTCTCTCTCTCTCTCTCTCTCTCTCTCTCTCTCTCTCTCTCTCTCTCTCTCTCT